TTAACAAACAAAAATTATACTCGCACATAAAGAAAGAAGCAACAAATGCATAAATTTTTATCTTTCACTGTTGAATGTCTTTACAGAGAAAAGCTTTTTATTCTAATGTTGGTAACATAGGGTTTTAAACACACGTTTAGTTTTCGAATAACTGGGATGATTGTTTAGAATTTTACTTAAAACTGAATTTTTATCATAAACCGGTGTCAGTCCGAGTATTACTCAAGTTCAGAAATAGTTAAAACCCTTGTTTCAACGCTGTTCCGAACTTCTTTTCAGTACAGACATAACTTTATTCATCCCTAAATCTAACATTTAAGTTCCAGGTCTTGTAGCAACACAGGTACTGAGTTCCAAGCAGATGTTCCTTAGTTTTCATCTCTAGTCACTTTGCGTTTGCGCTCCTTTAAAATCCAAAAGAATGAGACATCTGCAAAGCCGTTTTTTGGAAGATTCTAAATTCTTTTGAAGGAAAGTTCCAGTCGATCAACTGTAAATATATCAAGTGAATCAATTTAGTTTGATCAACAAATGAAAATAAACACATTATGAGGCGAGTACATTTTCTTTCAAAGCTAATTTAAACAATTTAGAGTTTTACACCGACAACAAGGGTCTTAAATTGTCATATTTATTATGTAAAACAAATAGCAATTAGAGATGCTGACGAGATTTATGAAAAACATAATTTTTCATTCCAGTAGGAATGGAAGGAGCTGTTTGAGTAAGTTATTTAATGACCTGATTTTTGACGTGTGTCTATTATCTAATCACTTTGACAGAGTTTGAGTTTGATAATTCATTGAAAATATAATTGGAATTTTCGTAGTTTGCACAATGAAGTGATCTAGATCAAACTAAAAAGCCTGGAAGCTCTGGACAGCTACTTCATCTTAATATGTGTGTTAGCAGTGAGCATCCACTACTTCATCTAAGACTCAACTCAGAACTTTCAGTCAATGATGCACACCATGAAAAGTAAACAATTTCAACAATACCCTGATACTGATAACATTGAAATTGTAAACACAATAATAAATAGTTTTGTATTTTTTTAAAAAAGATCAATCTTAAAATCCACTCTAATGATGATAATAAAAATCATAACTAACAGATTAGTGTAGAATACCCTCTTCAAAGAATAAGAATATTAGACACTTTGGTAATGGACATTCAAGCATCAATGCAGATGTCTAGTATATTTGAGTTGGATTTAACAGCAGATATGAGATGTTTTATCCTAACTAGCACACGTCAGCTGGATATGCCTACATCACAGTGTTGATGGTCACTCTGTGAATATAACCCATTATCTATCCTTTGAAAATCTGTCGTTTTATTTACTAGGCTACAAAGTCCAGATAAGTATTAACTTATACAACAAGTTTGAAGGTTTTAGCAGGAGTTTATGATGTCCGGATGAAATGAGTTTTCTGGATTCCGCTACTAGATATACATCAAATGTAGTTAAAATATGTGCTTAAAGGTTAAGTCAAGGCAATTTATTCAAGACGTTCATTCGACAATAGAGAATGATCAATTTTAGTCCTAAATATCAATAACAAGTAATTGAAAACTCTTCCTATTCAATTCAAATTGTTTTATAAAGTCTATTTCATATCTGATTCATTTGATAGGTATAACAAATTATCTCCTCAAAATGAACATTACCCACTCTCATTATTAAAGTTAATAGACATACAGATTTAAATGAATAAGAAAATCGATGAGATTCTGAAATTTTCCCTTATTTTTTTCTCCCTGTCGTTCATTCTCATTTGTTCTTTCTACCATTTTTAATTGTAGAGTTGAATTAGGGGAGAAAATAATTGTGGCTATTATTATAGGCATGGTAAAATTATCTATTTGTTAGTTGTTTTAGTCACTTAAGCAAAGGAAATAATTCGTATGGACATTATTTTTTCTTGGGAAATTTTCATAAAATCATTAATTTTACTGACTTCCTCTTACTTAAGGCTATACTTCTTTTTACATAGAAATTTCTTAACAATAGGTTAATTAAAACAGTTTAATAATAACGTTTTATGCTTATCCGACTTTAGTAGTTGATGTTTATGTATTACTGATGTTAGATATTTTTCGAACTGTTGACTGAATAATCTAACTAAACAGGCCCATAAAAACTTATTAGTTGAGTAAAGTTCATTATTTCAATGGTGACATAAGAAGTATGTGGAGATGGTATGACAAACTTATTTTGAATTTATTCTGTTAATTTTCGACTGCTTGTACATTTACTATAAAATGATTGTACATGTTGTTTAAGTGTGTTACCACCACAAGTATCTCTTTTTCAGAGCTATCTCAATCAATTTACCTCTTCTAATATCTAATTTCACTGAATATGAGGATTGTATTGTCACTAATAAGCAGATGATCACAATCATATAATGAAAACTGTTATGTGCTTCGTAAGGAAATTTTCTAATTTCTAGTGAGAAACCGTGATCAGTGGAAGGCTAGACACTTACTCACCGAAGACAGTGCATAAGGTCAGGCACTATAATGGAATGAGTGAGATTAAACAATAACACTGTTTGCTACCCGCTCAGTAGTCTAGAGGTTAGGCGTTCGCGCGTAAGACTGAAGGTTCTGAGTTCGATTCTCGTGAGTGGGGATTGTGTATGCGCGCTGCTGATGAGCCCCATACTATGATGAAATGGTCGTCCAGTGCCTCCCAATTTCTTTCTATTGGTGGTCCAACACTGATCGACTCAAGAGTTTCGTGGACCTCAAAAATCTCTACAACCCTTTAATGAAAATTTATTGTTATTTTGGAAAGGAGATCCAGAAACAAAAGAATACGAGCAGACAGGTCATGGTTTTCAGTAAATATTTAATCCTAAAACTGACATACTGGACAAGACTACACATCCTTTGTTCAGTCTATGAAGTCAGAAAAATGTACCATTATGAATGTTTAATTAATTGTAAATATTTTAAACCCCACCGAAAATTATCAGCTCGTCAGTTCAAATCTCATTGCAATCCATTGAATAAAATATATTAAAAATATTTTACTAAGAAAAGTTGCTAAAAAAACACTTTTGAAGATTTTAAAATAATCTTTAGTTTTTTTGAGCATAATGGTTGTGATGAACGCGTGATGTTCTTTCGAGCCTGATGTTGCTTTCCTATTTTCTTATCTGTTTGTATCTTTTTGTGCGAAAACATGTTTTTTATTCCTTTCTACATTATTTCCTGTAAACAGTGATATGTTTTCTTAGGTACTATTTTCATTTGTAAACCAGTCTTCTTTTTTTACTGATCACAAACTAAATGAAGTCGAGAATTTTTCATCCTAATTATCCCTCAATGATGGTAGGATGTAATTGTAAAATAGGAAATATAGAAATCTTCAGATTTTTCTCACTTCACAATTATTTCAGTCTTGTTTAAAAAATTGAGATGTAATTACTTTGACGTGATAATTATTGAATTAGTGATGTTTGTTTTATTCAATCAAATATACACCCTTATACATCCATCCACAAAGACACGTGTTGTAAGTGAACCAGATGGAGGCATAGGCATTCGTCATTTTTTTTTGTTTATTACGGTTCACTGGTTATGATCTGGTTCGACAATAAATGCGTAAATTAAACAATGAATTGTAGGTGGGATTATTTACTTGTTTCTGTTTGGGTTATGTTAGATACAACCAGGATGAGTAGAAGAAGTCAATAATAAGAAGTTGAATATTAGCTAATGAAAGATTAAAGATATTCTCCTATTTCATAATAGACAAAATTATAACTTTGCAATGAACCAGTCACAATAATACTGCCTTAGATGTAGTTCATTTTTAAAAAGGATTCTATTGAAATTAATCAATGTTTCGATTCTCTTGATAGCTAATTGTGCATTTTGATTTCGTCTTTAATTTCTATCTACAAATAGATAGCATTTTTACGCATGAATTTACTTTGAATGAAAATGCGCTTGCCTATAAACCTATTTGATATTGAATCTATAATCTAATAAAATTCTTAGCGAATACTTTTTTGTCAAGATTGATTCATAAATGAGCTTGTTATTGAACTGAAACCTATTTCAAAAATCTTATTCTCTCCATAAAATCTAAAATTCATAGGTTCAGGTGTTATGGAGTGCTGATGCAAATTGAAACAACACTCTAGCGTTTCTTGATGTTTAGTGGTTTTATTTTAGTCAGTATCAGTTCGTGTTGATAATTAGCTTGAAAAGTAACGTTGTTGATCATTTCACCCTTTTGTCAAGTGATAATAGTTTATTTGAAACCATATAAAGGAAAAAAACGTGGATTCTTTAATTTATCCCGGATTTTCAAAAGAAAGTTAGTGGTATTGAAACATTCTGCTAAGGTAAATAGTTAAACCATTCCTCCTTTATTTGTATAAATGTGCACCGAAGAAACTAAATTTTGTAAGTTTTCTATTATGATCAAAATTGCATACAGTAAACGAAGTAAACTGATAACTTTTTAAAATCTTAAGAATTACAGTAAAGCATTATTATTCGATCTATAGAAGTTTCATAATAGCATTTCCCTACAATTTCAGGGTTCAAACTGAGGATGTTGAAAAATTTAACTAATTTGTCAATAGTAAGAAAAAATGTCTTCTCAGAAGGTAACCATTTTAAATTTTTAAAAGCAGTCTATTAGAAATTTTTCAAATAAGCTTTACACCTTTAGTTTTTATCAGCAAGAAGCATTAATATCCTGTAAAACAACTATGAAGACTAAACGTAATTCCATCACTGTATTAATGCAAAAAGCTACTATGACTTCAGATGAAAAATTAATTTCTTAAAGACTATACAGTTACCTAATTCGCAAATCATCTTTAAACATGGTGTACAATTAACTAGACAAAGTCATTGTACTACTCAAAACCCAGATTACACTGCGTTTATATACACGTTAACAATTTTGGATACACACAAGATATGCATGTAAGTGTCATTTTCAGATAAAAAGAAATGAAAAATTCACCTACCTTCGACAAGTGAAGTCAGTAAGGTAACTGTTGCTGCTTTTCGTCGTCCTGCAGGTAAATTTAATCCAATCTTGTCCAACTTATCACGTAGTGATCTTCCTCCATTCTTAGATTTCGCTCTGATAAAGATAAATTTAACAATCTTTATTAAAAATTCTTCAGGAATATCCATTTAGATTTGTGAATCTAAGCTTTTGTTTTCTTTACAATCATATTTCCCGCAATCTGATAATACATATTTCTAGTGCAAATATGTATTTCATTGTGCTTTTCATACCTTGTACAAAACTGGTCTAATTAAGTAAATAAACTGAATAAATTTAGACTTTAAGCTAGTTGAAAAATATTTGAATTATGGCTATAAAATATGTGTATTACATAATGGAAGTAATTTAGCAATCTTGAAGCTGATTCGTGATTTGAACTTTAGATATATAAATGATATCTGGTTAGATCAGTTGGATTTAAATAGTATGAACCGAAAAATTATTTTTTGTAAAGTAGTTTTTACTAATATTCATTATGTTATTTATTTAAAATGAATAATGCTAGAAGTTCTTCTGTCGTCCTGCCTAATAATTTGCATGTGAGCTAAAACTATCGAATTATGGTTGCTCGCTTACACTAGAAACTGGGTTAAATTTTGAGAAAAATATCAGTCAGATTGTCATATTCAGTTTTTAGTTGGATACCATTAAGAAATATTTTGTTCATGATAAATAATAGCTTGCCTTTTTCCAAACTTATCATTTATAAGAAATATTTTATTTGTTAGTTAAATATCTACCAATTTTTATTCGAACTAATTAATATTTATCAAGCTTAAATTGTAAAAATTAACACACGGTAACCATTCAGTTTGCTTATTAAGCAGTTTATTTTCGAGTATATGTGCGTATGTTAGACTGTAACACAAAATTAGTGTTATTAGACTAATATAAATATTAAGTGGAAAACCCTAAAGGCATTAAGTAATTGTTATTTAGTCAAAAAACAATGATCATATTTTAACGCTAATGAGCCACTTAAAACAATAAAAAATGACTAGTTGCATAATCTGCATTCAAGAAATGTGATTGGTACAAGAGAACGAGTGATCAGGATAATAAAGCTTCCTGCTGTGTAAAATTTCAAATTTGAAGTGACCATCTGTTGAATATGAATTTCTTTAAATTAAATGTAAATTTCCTATTAACCTTCAGATCAAACAACAAAAAGTCAGGATAATGAACAAAACATTTTTAGTTCATATTGCCGTATTCATAGAGCCTTAGGTGTACAACGCTGATATGCTTCAAACTAGGATGGCGTAACTGTCCAATGCACCCTCGTTTCTGATTAATGTTCAGCTGAAATCACTACATTCTCTCAACTATGTTTGAATAAAATCATTAAAAAAAGATACTCAGTAGCACTGATTTTCAATGGATGACTGTCCGATTCCAACGAAAAATACAGATACTAAATTTCAATCGATAGTGTTTTGGGAAGTCTTTATTTATACTATCCTTAGTGTCTTGACAAAAGGTAGTATAGTACACTAGTATTCTCATCCAGAATAATAACGTCATTCTTAAATATTTCTGAATGAAATATCAAATCAGTAATTTATTTATTAAACAACTTACCGGCGTAAGACTCCACCAAGTAATGAAGCATTCAAACATTCGGGTGGTGACAGACGCCTTTGAACTTCAGCGACGGTAACTTTATATTTTGAAGTAGAGCTAAGCAGTGAGAGGCGGCCAGGAACAGTACAAAATACATCTGATGGACACGGTCCGTGTATAAATTCAGTTCGTCCATCTAAAGCTGTTTTATATCTAATTGCTTCATGGAAAGAAAACGAAGAGATAAGTTTTAAGATCGTAAACTTTCTAGAAAATATTTTTAAACACTAAATAATTAATATACCAGTAACAAAAAGTCCTTTTATTACTCTTTACAAAACTAAGACAAGACGGCTACGTGTTTACATCTCAGCTTTACTAAGTTCTCTAGTTGGAATAATTTTATACCTAAAAATATCTTAAAATCACAAAAATTGTCTTGTAAACAACCTGAGAAAATAATAATTATCTGTTCATTAACGATTACTTTTGAAATAAATTCACTAAAGTCATAATCAAAGACTGTCAACTGTTGAGTAAGCAAAGTCAATAACATAGTTATTATGGGCTAATGAAATTTAGTGAAGAAGACGTTACTATCAGTTGACTGAAGTAGAAAATGCGGACACTAGATTGCAAAGTGACAGCATGTTTGAGTGCCCTGTTCTTTTTGAAGGTGTCAGTTTCCACTGTAGTAAAGTCTCAAACCGGAAGAAATTTTGTTTCAATATTTAGTGGTTTCTTTGACTGAACAGATGAAATCAGGTCTTGGTGAAGAACTTCCTATCTTAGTATTTTTCAGTTTTTAGGGTTCGTTGAGTTTATAGTTTGCACAGTGAATTAGGCTGATTTAGTAAACTACTAAAAACCTAGGAGCACTAGAAAATTGTTTCTTCACCGGATGAAACTCCTCAGAAGATGGGGATTCATAACCCCACTATTGATGAAATCCGAGAACTCCTGATCTTCAGTCTAGCGATTACCCTTTAAACTGACGAAGCAGAATACAATGACTTCAATTCATCTTAGTGTAGTTTATAAACACCTTCAACTAATAATCATCATGTTCTAACTCATGACTGATTTCGAGGACCATACTCCCGGGGTTCTATTGGGAAACCGTGAAGTCCAACTATGTTGAAAAGAGGCAGTTAATCACCGACGGTATTGCCACACCATTACACATTGGATTTAGAAGTGTAAACCATTGAATGTCAACCTAGTGGTCTAAATTTAACGCTCTATCCACACTGGTTTTGGCCTCAGTTCAGTCGTGGCTGCTTATTACCCTGTGGTCTCATACTAGGACAAAACAGTTGTCAAATGTTTCCTGGTTTCAATGGATTCCACTATTTAAACTATTAAATATCTTAGTATTCATTTGATATTGATTTCTGAAATTGATCGGCAGACAAAATATACATACAAAAATATATCAAAATAAATCTAAAAACATTTTTTTTCAAGTCTATTTATTATAATATATCAGGAAGGAAGCTGGTACTTTTTAAAGGTACTAAGAAATTTCAGCCCTTGGTCTATTAGTGAAGAGAATGTAACTTCGAAAATAGACCTTACGTATAATTTACCGAGATTCTTAATAATTTTTATTAAGAACAATGATTTAGTTGAGTTTTAAGGCGATAAAAAATCCTCACACTGATAGTAAAATAATTTTCTGATTTTTAAAATATATACAGAAGAATACTACTTACAAATTATTCATAAGTCTAATTATCTAACGTTTATGAACTAACTGTGTAAATTTAACAACTAGAATAATTGAATATAGTTTAATAAATGAGTGATTAAATACTCCGCTATAATCACTAAGCATTCATCGTTTAATTACTTCTTTGCTTTAGATTGGTATCAATCATTCAAGTTGATTAACAATTGAATACTAACAAATTCAATCTTTAACACAAACTTACTAGTAATACCGACTGAACTGTAAATCGAGCTAGTTTATATGGTATGATGAGTTGTTCATAGGTAAGATGGGTTTGTAGTTTAATGAATACTGAGCAGATTATATCGCTTTGGCAATTATAACTTTCTTAGTTTTAACTAGACACAAATTGATTCATCCATCATCCATTTTAACGATGCACAATTCCTCCTGTTTGACTGAGCCCATAATGAAAAAAAACAAACTGAACTACACTATTCCTATTAGATAACTGAATGTCTTATGTTATCAATGAAAAAAAAAACACTATTTATACTGAACTTATTAATAATCATCTTAAAATGATATATATTTGTTATGAGAAAACTTGTCATACATTTTATTCATTTTATAACATTTCTTTATACCTTATTAAAATACTATGAGTTATTACGTAAGTTTGATAATAATCAGTATTAGCTTATGGCCTCTTCAAAGTTTACCAAATATATCTCTTTTAATTATACAATCAATCAACTTTTCCTCGTACATCATTAAAAGGAATGAACTGAAACAATGATTACAAGTTGGATAATCCCATCATTTGCTGAAGGATTAGTTATATATCATAGGTGTGAAAATGGTCATTTAAGGCTCTCTCTCTCTCTTTATATATATATATATATATATGAGAGCATTAAAAGATCACTAAATCACCTCCAACTTAAAGATTATTATGTTTCAATGTAACTTGTTTGTATGATTTATTAAAAAATAAACATAATTGTATCGTATAATGATATGTTTTCATATAAAAGAAACAAGATTAAAAAGAAGAGTAAAAAGAAATTTTAAGTGAGGTTTAATGTTATGTGACAAACATGTAAAGCAACTCATTGATCAAATTGAGTAATATACCGTATAAGTTCTTCCTTATATATTTTTTTTTGTAATAATTCATAAAAGATTTTAATTCCTTAATCAGTATATTTCAGTATGTAATTAAATTGTATAAAATACAAGGCTTATCCTTCTTCTGTTGAAGTTAATAGTACTTCATGGACAAATGATGATAGTTTTGAATAAACTGAATGAAACAAAATTCTATGATACAAGTATAAGTAAACAGTAGAGATGTTAACGTTGTTTTAGTCTATTCGCAATCACCTTTGTAGTGTATACTACTTAACTAATGAAAGCTATTTTCGATCTATGAATTCACCTACTATCCGCAGTAAACTATAAATGAACTAAAATTGAACAACACCTTTTGATGACTTAAATTCGGATTCTCGATATTGAGTACATAAGAATCCTTATTGCTATTCACCATCAAATACAAACTTATCTTATAAACTCTAATTGATTTGTGATAGATAGATATTCTTCGTAATATACCGATAACGAACAGTTCATAGTTATCATGAAACTAATAAACTAATAATTATTTCAAGGATTTAAACGTCTTTCAACTATATAAAAGTAGCCTTAACAATAATTTCATCACAAAACATACAGTAAATAAAGATAATTCAATTTACAAGTTAATTTTTTGTTAATATTTCCTTAATTTACTTAGTTTATTACGATAATGTTTGATCTACATTGGATCCGATATTTTTGGACGATTTTCAATCATTTCTACGTTCTAATTGTTCTGTAAAACTTTAAACTATTTGTTTAAAATTATTCCTGACCAATGAATATATTTAAGATAGACAGTCAAAGTTCAAGTTAGAGATTATGGCTGATGATGTTCAGATTATTATTACCAATGTCGTAAGACTACTGTCTAGCTATAACAATTCAGTTTACAATGATTTATTGTTGGAACACCGTATCATTTCAAAAGTTGACTGAATTCGCAACTAAAACCGCTGTATTCTGACTCATTGGAGTAAAGCCAACAAGCTCATTACAAAATGTGAAATGTTGTAAGTGCACAGAGTACTCTCCAATGCAAAACAACACAACTATCTGACCTTATCTTGGTTTCAAATGTTCCGAAGTTATTGAAAACTATTATCTAATGTCATGTAAACGAGTCAAAACTCAATCATTTCGAAAGACAGACTGAAATTAAATGTTTGATAAAACTACGGGATAAATTCATTTCATTCAAATTTAAATCATAAACAATTACAGTATTATAATTTGAATTTCATAAAACACTTATCAAGTCCTCATCTTAACCATTAAAATGTTTATCGAGTTTCCTGTTAAACACAGACTATTTATTTATTTAGTTAATTATCAATAAGTGTCATATATATATATATATATATAATTTTAAAATAAACTTTTAACTGTATTGATGTAACACAGAATACATTTGATAATATTTTTAGCGGGATTTGAGAAAAAAAATGGACAATCCAGTTTTAACTTATTGCTGGTACTTAATATTAACTGAACATCATCAACTTCAAGAGCTATTGAAATATAAATTTGGATAATGAAATGAATAAATGTTATTTCAATATTGAGTTCTCATTTTTCATACACGAAAGACATGATTGTTTCATAAACTAACAGTTAAGATTAATAATTCAGGTGACTATACCAAAAGTTTTGCAATATTTTAAATATCATCTTAGATAATATTGAAGAGCCACAAACTATGACAATAATGACTTTCCAGAGCACTAGGGGCTTCTACTAGTTCTATAAAAATGTGATAAGTTTTTTTAAACTCAACCTGTTTTTCTTATTACTAAAACAGTACTGGATGTAATTATTTAGAATAAAAATTATTATTACGATTATATTGTAATTTTGCATTCAACTATTTAACGTCTCATTCTCCGATTAAATTTGATTAGTCTTTTATAAAAAATCTTCACCTGTATCTCAGTATTTCTTGTTGTTAAAGAGTTTGCATACGAATACTGGTCATCATGGTCGCAATCTTGATAAGGCTATTCCATTACAAAAGTCACAGAAGATCGCGATGCAGCAGTGCCATTTCAGTTAATTTTCTTTCGATGAGTTTATTTACAACTCGATAACAACATATAGATTCGTGTACCAGGCTTTGAGCTACATCTATGACGAATAAGTCAGTAATTCTGAATATTTAAAAACATTTATAGAATTAAAGGATTCGATTGCATGACCAGGTGAAGAAAGAATTTGATTTAACTAGTTGTCCCATTGAAAGTAAATTATGAATTCGTACCTGTAAGTACTCATAATACTCTCATCGATTTCACGCTTAATATTAGAAAGATTTAAACAATAAAAATTATGTTAGAAATTCAACAAAATATTACATATTACGCATTCAAAAATGATTTACTATTGATCGTGAATTTTCACGTTGAATAAATTCAGACACTAAGAACGTGAACAAATTGTTTTGTTAAACGAATTTCAGTTTTTTAAAAAAAAACTCACATAACTGACCGAAATCAAGTCTGTAACTTCATCCTAACAATTTAATTCATGTTGAATTACAATTGAATACAAAAGATAAACAATTTTAATTAGTGCAATCGAAAAAAGAAATAACTTTTCTAATTTGATTTTTTTTATTTATTTATTGAACTCTCCTTTTATTTCAGGTTATCAATTAAAAAAAATTTCTTACAATTTTCATTCAATTTGTTTGATAGTTTGAAGTGAATGAAAACATAAAATGTGTTACACAGCTAATTTTCTTTTCACTAGACACAAAAAAAACTACTAAGCATTAATTCACATAAATTTACATAATGAAACTTCTATTTGGTAATTTACATATGTCTATATGTATATATATATATAGTGTTAGTGAACAATGAATTTATACTAATCTAAATAAAATCTCAATCCCTTAAGATTTGATTTACACACCTGTTTAACAGATTCTTTTTTATTTATATTATTACAAAAAGTTTTCCGATAGAATCATTTTAATAGAATTTAGAATTCTCATTTTCATATGCTTTGCTTAAGGGCATGGATAAGAGAAAAAATGTGGCAGACCAACTAGGTACACTTGTAAAAGTTCACACGAAAACAGTAGAAATTAACTCTGGTAAACACTATGGACTAAAATATGATTAACAACAAGTGATGTACAGCATCGTGTCTCTCTCTGTATCAATTCGTCATTCATAGGAAATGATAATACGAATATGATAGGGATTTGAAACTAAATCTGATAGTATTTCTCCAGTTATTATTAGGCTGTTTTACTTCCTTATTAGGCTGGACAATTAAGAGCAGAAAGTGATGTTGAATTTGTTCGTTTGTATTACATAGTATATTGTCAGGCTTTTATACTTGAAACGTAAACATACCTAGCTTGTTTCAGATTTACATAATTTTTGCACGCTACACATAAGAACTAAACTATTTGCCATTTTTATTGATATGGTGATCGGTAAAGATTATTGGATTTATTATTTGAAAACGGGGAAGAACTGGACAGTTATTTCTTTTAACGCTATCCCGAAACGAGTGCAGTTAGGCAAGTAGCATATTGGATTTCCCCTCAATGGTTTAAGGGTTAAGCTCTCACCTGAATATTTTTGGTTGTATCCTCACTGTATTCGTGACTGCGTACTATTAGAAAGACTCATACTAGATAGAAACAGGTCTTTAATGCTTCTTCGTTTCCAATGACTAATGGTCATGTAAACGAGAATACTTAACATTCATTTAAAAAATATGATCTGCTATAGGAAAACGAAGTCGATGTAAATGTCTTTTGTGAAACACTTAAGATATGAACTTATTATGTCACTTACTGCTTAGTTAAGACTTGGCTTCTAATCAACAGTGAAGACATGCTTTACTCATATATAACTAATATATCACAAACTACAGAGAGATTTCAAATAATTCTAACTAATTATCAAACATCAACTCAGTCGATAAAATTCTATTGATGTTTAAGTCTAGATGATTAATTACTAATTATCACATTCTCCACATTGTTTTAAACTGAATATACTAACCTTTTTTACAAAATCCATTTTTTCCGACATTTCCCCCTCCAGGTAAACGATTAAACGATTGTTCAGGCATTATTGAAGCAGTTGGTTGATAAACAACATTTTGTGTACATTCAGTGCTAAAGCTCGTCGAATATCTTGTTCCTTGAGAATGTGACATGTAAGAATTAGACTGATCTAAATTATGAGTTAAATTTGTTTGTAGAATAACATTTGTTGGATCACTTAATAAACCTTCTGTTAAATTTTGAATTTCCGAAGTAAATCCTAAATCAAATGCATTTTTTAATAAATTTCTATCAGGATTTCTTATTCTATCTTCTGAATTTAAGTCGTTGACATTCATTCCACATGGAATTGGAGATGAATAGATATTTCTACCGGGGTCAGTTGTTGCAGCGCTACTCATTTGTATCCTGTCGATTTCTGATCCTATTTCGAAATTTCTTTTACTTGATCCTGGGGATAAGAATTGTGATGAATTTTGTGGAGACGATTCTGTAGTATCTATTGATGAAGGCGTTCCACTCTAAATTTTAGTTTTTTTAAAAAGTAATTAAAATCATAGTTTAACTTTGGGTATCGATCAAAATTAAATTATTGTAAAATTTTCAAATGATTGGCAGATCATTGTAATTTTACAGATAAGTAATTTAAAACTTGTCTTACTTGCGGATAGTTTGAGTCAGTAGTTTGATGTGATTGTCCAAAAGTTTTTTCTATCATTTCATATTCAGGTCTAAGTGAACAAGGATGCATATTTGAACGATGTATGAAGGAAGAAGATTGTGAACTAGTCACTGAAGTTTCCATATCATGTCTTTCATCATCGATTTTCAAACGTAACGATTTGGAATTACCAGTATTATTATTACTACAGCCACTGGTGTTGTTGTTGTTGCTGTTGTTACTGTTACTTTGAGTTAAATGATCAACCATTTCAGATAATTTAGAACGTGGAAAAATGTTCACAATCTGTAAATATTAAGGATAAGAATGACTCATTATATCAATGCCAAAGTGTTAGGAGATCTCATAATTTTCAGAATTCGCTATCGTTTCCACAAGGTGCACACGAACTTCCTGACTGGGCTTACTACTTTGAAGTTTTAGAGTGAAAATACAAACACCTTTTTTCTGACGAACACCATTGCAAGTAACCAAACCTAACATAGGGTTTCTTGCTGTTTCATTTCAGATAGAGTATATTGTTAGGTTTTATAAATCATCCTTGTGTGATTGATAAATAGATTTAGGAATATATAAAATTATTTTCTCACTTAATCATATATCTAATTGTAACTACCTATGTACTGAGGTGTTTGAATAAGTTTCTTTGAATTAATTTCTACAATATATTCCTGCTAGTATAGATTGTTTACAATCAAAGATAATTTTTCTCCAAATAAAATTTAGAACTAAAATTAACAAGTTACGTATTGCTTTACATCAAGTGAAAAAAGATTTATGCACAGTGAGTAAACATGAAGGTTTCTATAAGTGGACTAGTATTCAGATAGATAATTTACTATTAATAATCAAATCATACGTTTCATTAGATAATAAATTCTTCAATCTATATGAACGGTTGTCCTGAAAAAGTAAACAAACCAGAACAGCATCTGTTAGAAGTTTCTAGTATTATTGAAGCTGAAATATTATTTAAGTATCATTCCTACCTGAATCTAACATGACTGTCCTTAATTATCATGTGAATTAAGAATATAACATAACTTATATATGATCACACAAACTAGTGATCGACTCATTCATTCATCAAGAGATAGATAACTAAGCTTAAGGATTGTATTACACTACAGATCAACTGAAGTTCAAAATGATAATTATTGATCACCGTTGAAATAAAATCCTGCTAACCGAACTACATGAATTTCATCGGTTAGATATTGAATGAACTTATCGGTTTGTACCACAAAGATATTTTTAAATAACACTAAATTCTCTAGTCCTTTGGTTTTTATTAACTGATTGACAAATTAATATGAAAAATGGTTTTTAAAAATTATACTGATTCCATTACAGTTCAGTTAATAAAATAATTTAAAGATTAAAACTTTCTGAAATGTTTATGGATGAAAGAAAACCATCCAATCTCCAATTTAACTTGTATTATTTAATGGTTACGGCGTTAAACTGAGTGCTTTTACAAAATACTTTCAATTACACTCACTGCGAATCAACATTAAAACTTTTTGTAAACACAGTTAACAGTGAACTACCCAAATGTTGATCATTTGCTGAACGCTACGAAGATGGTTCTTTCGAAAATAGTTACTGATATTATTGTCTTATTCTTGAAAGTAATTCATAAAAGCACTATTTTTCGACAACAAAATCGTGCACAAAAATACATAATATTCATTTAAATTTATTGTGAACATATTACCTGATCAGCTACTGGTGTAGAGCTACTTGTTTGTATACCACCATGCATTGAATAATTGAATGGATACTGTGTAAACATATTATTAATATGATTCATATCGGATGATGTGGATGATAAATTTTCATTAGTTAGCATAGATCCATTCATATAATTCATGGAAGTATAATAATTTGGATTTGTGGTAAAATATGAAGAAAATGGAAAATTCGTTGTGTTTGTGTGCAGTCTCGACCGTTGCTGCTGCTGCTGATGTTGTTGTTGTTGATGATGATGAGGATGATGTTGTTGCTGTTGCGAGGTGTGTAGATGTTGATTTAATACATTCGAATCATGACATAAATTGGGATGATAAAAATTACCCGAATAATTATTTGAACCACTTAGAAATGGTATATTTTGTCCGCTAGTATGATAGAAATTTGTTCCTAAACTATTCGTTGCTGCCTCTGTTGTCGTAGTCATCATTGTCATCATCGGTGTAGTTATCGATGGATAATAAGGTGGCGGAAAATATGGTGGCTGATAATCGGAATGTAGACCACTGACAGAGCCACTTCCACCAGTTAACGAATTATCTGTGTCGGAATTCGTTTCATTTTCAGCAACACAGACACCTGTTGAAAATTGATCCTAAATAGTAAATAATTATAAGTAGTTATTCAAGTGGAAAACAAATTCGTTTCACAATAATTGTAGACATAACTGTCAAGGTCTAAGTTGATAAGTTCAAATGAGCTGACTTTTTGCATAAGACTTTTACGTTCACCATATCCACTGATGAGTATAAACTTCGTACGTTCCATAATCTCCTGTAATTTACTCTTTATTAAATAAATAAATTCTTCAAGTTAGTACAAATTTAAGTGCTAACAAAAATGAATCGGATAAAGTAATGATTATATACAAACGTGTTTAATCTCTGCACAATAGATAAATTTTGAAGAATCATAGTCATATTGTAAAAAAATCTACTGTTACTAAAAATTAACAACTGAACGTTTAGATCTTAATGACATCTCTTTCGTTAACAACATCTATTTCTATATACCATTTATAATAATTTTATTGCCAATCTAAATGTTTTCGGAGATCGATCACATCACAGACGAATAATGAATCAATGGTAAGAAAAATAAAATGTCGCTTATTATTCAGTTTATTGTAATACAAACAAACAAATGGAAAAAGTATGAACAATGAACATCATCTTAATGGCCTATGTCAACCCACTTCACAACGAAAATAAAATGCAGGAGAGTATTGTAATGAAAATATCGAGTTAATGATTAAAATCTGGCACCTAAAGTGATCACTTAAGTTTCTTAGTTTAGTTCAGAATATATGTATATAGTTTACTAATCATCAGTCTGCATTATTGAATGAATTAGTTCTTTCTCATTCAAGAACATGCTTAGTAATTAGCCACTTTTTAATGTGAAAGATTTCACAATATTTAAACTCAAAACAATTATGACGATTTTGGAACTAAATGCTAGAAGAAAGATGAATAAAATTTACAAACTGCAGTATGAAAAGTAAGTCAGAATACTTGATAAAATGTTTTTCACGCTGCTGTATAACAATTAATGCTGGTCAATAACCATAATAATTTACCTGTATAATTGAAGACATGTATTCATCAACTTGTAAACTAATATCTCGGTAGGTATTGCTTGCAGCTATTTTAGATCCTGAACCCCAGAGGCAATGTAAATTATGGCAGCGTCTTCTAGTCAGTTGATAGTACCAAGTTATTCTTCGTAGATTTCAGATTATGGCCGAAGGCAGTTAAATCGGTTGTATATAATAAATTTATATCTGAATCAATAGAGCCAACAACAAGTTTTTACGTAAATACTAATAATTTTGCTTAAAATTCGGCACATCTGATAGGTTCTTATGAAACGAAATTTCCGAGGCAGACGATAATGCCCAAAAGGGGGAAGAGAATGTATTCAACTTTTTTATTGCCTTATTCTATATATTTTATTTGTATTTGTTGTTTCTCTGCCCTGAGGCTTGTGCTATAAGTCTGATTTTTAACTGAGGGAAATTTCTGATCTAAAACTTTAGGTTAGAGAAGGGAGAGAGAAAAGTGTATTTGAATAAAATCATTCCCATACTCCACCACCAATGTATCATACATCATAATAAAAGAAAAGTATGGAACATTAATAGCCGCAGGACAAGTAGGAAAACAACCGTTTTTATTGGTCCATTTATGAAGAGGGATAGATAGAACCAAGGCCATATAGCGAACCAATTAGAAAGTGTATAAAATCATACGTCAGCTATTCAAACAAGAAAGGGATTATTACCCACATTCTTAGAATGTGATAAATATCAAGGAGCGAATCGACTTTTGGGATGGCCTAATTTTTAATTTGATGCAACTCACTAAATCATTTTGTACTCAGAAATGATGTTAACCACAAAGAAATAATTGTCCTGAACTGCACATTTCTTGATTTATAGAGTATTTAAAAAAATACCTAAAAAATACTGAACATAATAGCTTGCAATAATTTTACCTTAGATTTCCTTTACCATAAATCGTTATCAGTCATTTTTAACAATTTCTCTTCAGACGATATGATTTGCTCTTAGTACTTTTGAATAGCTGTGTTTAATTATATGAAGTGATATATTAGATTCCATGTGCATTCCTTCTTATCAATATAAGGAAATGCGCTAAAAATTAATGAATTCAGGATCACGTTGAAAAGACCATTATTTATTTCATTTTAAAGTGTTTTTAATTCGTTTGATCAGAATGGAGTGTAATAAATTCTGATTTACCAAGTAGTGAGATATATACATGGAAGTAGCTGCTTCGTGTTACGCTTAAGAATCCAGCTTGATGTAGATTCGGTATAAAAGTAAATTGTTACATAGTAGATAGATTCTAGGCGTGTGAACCTATTGTGGGTTCTTGAAGATCACTATGTGATTATGTTTAGTTAACGAACAAATAGCTTAAGGATTTTATAAATAAATTTTACAAGCATTTTCAACTTTTAATTCTTAGATTTCAACTAGTTTTGGGTAAAGTAATGGTGTTATAAATCTTTGAGTATATGAGAGGCTCAATCCTACACCAATTTCCCAATGAACCTGAAAATTGCCATTTACCAAATGTCAGATAATTCGAATAGTATATTGATTTCATCATTTTGAAACTCTACGTGCACCATTCGGTATTTTGATATTGTTATGATAAATTCGATATTGATGGTGACAAACTTGGAAGATTATTTGCACATTGGTAAAATGTTCCATTACCTAGAACTTTACCCAGAAAAACTTTCTAGTTCACAATTTTTTTTAGTTAGAAATCCATAAGTAAACAAGTACTGTTTATTAACTTCCAATAAGACCGTTAATCTATCAATTTATATTGTGATTCAAGGGCGTCAAGTTCTACAATATCTACCCTATTCATATTCCAGATAGGAAAATAAAATATTCAGCTGATAGGATGGGTGCTTCCATTGTACTTTTTCGATAAACATAATTTTAGGTTACTTCAGCTTTTTTAAAAAGGTATTTGACCGGCGATAATGTAGGTATATCTTTATACAATACTGTGCCTCAAAAACCGCTCTTTGTTTACTGATTCTTGTTTGAAAATGAGCATTTTGGAAATTCTATGGAGTTTTTTAATAATTCTTATTATTATACTCAACTGAACATTTCTAAATAAAAATTTCAAATGTTTTTCAGATTTTCCAGTAACATAATTTAGCTTCATCAAATTCTCTGTTCACCAGTCAAGAACTATTTCTTGGCCTGAAGGGTTACTTACTTACTTACGCCTGTTACCCTCAATGGAGGATAGGACGCCCACCAGTTTTCTCCAGCCAACTCTGTCTTGGGCTTCCCTTTCTAGTTCTTTCCAGTTTTTGTTCATTCTTCTCATGTCTTTCTCAATTTCTTGGCGTAATTTGTTCCTTGGCCTTCCTCTTTTCCTTTGACCTTGAGGGTTCCATGTCAGGGCTTACCTTGTGACCCAGTTCGGTGCTTCTCGCAGTGTGTTTCCGATGCACTTCCACCGCTTCTTCCTGATTTCCTCCTCCACTGGAATATAGTTTGTTCTCTCCCACAGTATGTTGTTGCTGATGGTATCTGGCCAACGAATCCGAAGTATTTTGCGTAGACAACTGTTAATAAATACTTGTATCTTCTGGATGGTGGCTTTAGTAGTTCCTCAAGTTTCCACTCCATACAGTAGAACTGTCTTGACATTTGCATTGAAAATCCTGATTTCGGTGTTGATTGATATTTGTTTGGAGTTGCAGATATTTTTCAACTGTAGAATTGCACTCCTTGCTTTGCCGATCCAAGTCCTCACATCTGCATCGGATCCACCCTCATTGTCGATTATGCTGCCTAGGTATGGAAAGTAGTTAACGTCCTCCAAAGAATCTCCATCAAGAGTAATTTGGTTGACGCATGTTGTGTTGTATCGTAGAACCTTGCTTTTCCCTTTACGTATTTTGAGACCTACAGCTGCTGGGGCTGCTGCTAGATTGGTTGTCTTCTCTTGCATTTGTTGTTGCGTGTAAGATAGAAGAGCCAGGTCATCTGCGAAGTCCAGATCGTCCAGCTGCGTCCTAGCTGTCCAGTGAATACCGTGCTTCCCTCCAGATGCTGACGTCTTAATAATCCAGTCGATAACCAGAAGAAAGAGAAAGAGTGAGAGTAAGCAACTTTGAGTGACATCGGTCTACAAATGAGTTCGTCAGCTGACCTCCGTGCACAATTTCGCAGTTTAATCCATCATAAGAATTCCGTAAGATGGCCTAAATGGTACCAGTGCTAAAATAACACTTCTTAAGATTTATCTATTTGTAATTTCACCTTGGAATCAGATGCATAAACATTTGAATATCTGTCTAGAGTCGAGTACTGAATCTGAGTACATTGAATTCGATACTTTCATTAACACCCTTAAAACCTACTTTCTAAATGTGTAACTGAATACTGTGATACTGTAACACAAACAAATGTTTTTTATTGACTATAAATACAAATGTACAGAATTCAGAAAAAACTTCAACTCATCATTTTGTTGATAATTTTACTATAAATAGTTGTTTGCATGGGCTAATTTGCAGACGATATCATCAATCATTGAAGATCAAAATTAAAGTCAGTATACAACTCATTAATCTCTTACTAATCACCAATGTCACATTTGTCTAGTCTTTTACTGATGATTGAATTATCAGTGTACAGTAATTGAATGAATCCCATATTGCAACAACACACGCATCCATTACATCCTGGTTTCCATTAATTATCTCGTACATATAATTTCATGACAAAAATGAAATTTAGAAAAGATTTCTGTAAAATAACTTGCGATTGTAAAGAAGATGACAACTAATGAAGAAATAATAACAATAATAATAATAATAATAATCATAACTCAACGACTAAAGAACAAAAAGAAACAAGATGTTTTCCATACATTTGAACTATTTATGTAACAATTTACTGGTTTAGTAAATTAATTAACAAATGACTTTATGTTTAAAGAGAAAAAAATAAGTCTAGAATCGACTCAAATTTCACAGCAAATAAAAGATCATATGGAGAGCCAAAGAAACAAATGCTAAACGAATTGAAATATGATGATAAAATTAATTTTAACCATTGAGATACACAAGATTGAAATGGAAATGATTTTAACAATAAAGTTAGTTCAGTATTCATGTTACACATTAAGAAATGTGGATGACTACAGAGAGAGAGGGAGGGAGAGAGAGAAAAGAAAAAAGCATTCCACTCTTAATTCAACTTCCTTTTGTTTTTTGGCTTTTTTTAAAAAAAATCAAAAACTGAACTGATTTTCATTTTCTTTTCCATCCTCCTCCTTTTTCAACTAAACTAATCTCCGTGCCTTCATTAACCACTTTTTAATGTTACTAAGTTGAATTATTTGAGAATATGAAAAGGTATTCATCGAACAATGCATACATATCCCTAGTATTTTGAGTAAACTTATTATTATTATCGTTAGTATTACCATTAATAATAATAGTATAATTCACTGGAACAATGGTTCAGTTACCAAGGTCTTCTTTTCCCCCACATAATTTGACTGTTTTTAAAGGGTCACTTTGGGAATTCTTTGGATTACTTTCATACCACAAAAAAATCTTTTTACCATACATATGAACTGTTAGGTAAACAGTGAGGCTTGTTGAATACTGTGAAAGGTAGTTAAGTATTATTTTTTAGAAAATAATAAAACTGTATGATGCTCAGAACAGTAAATTCGAAATGAAGAAATATGACTCTAAAGTAAATAATTAATCTTCCTCCCTTTTTTTGTTTTAGTTTCTTTTACGAAGAATCAAAAGAAAAAGCCCAGTGATTAGTTAAGACATGCCTTTTCTTATAAAATGAATCTCTGATAAGTTAAGTTTTGCACATAATAATGAATTTCATTAATGATTTTTATTATAACTGAAATATGGAAAAGCTTGATTTGATAGTAAAAGGATTCTGTGACAATGCAAGAATTCTCCGCAGTGATCAATGCATTAATAGGGTCAAATGTTTAATGCGTATTCCAGTCGTTATCATTCAGTAATATTGAAATTTTTAACAATCAGGATCTGCCA